TATAGACCTGTTTAAGGTGAAGATATATATAGACCTGTTTAAGGTGAAGATAAGAGCAACACTATTTAACGCAAGATTCAGGTTTGAGTACTGAAATTTCAGTAAAAATGGACAAGGCCTTTTGTGAAAAACTAGCAGTTTCCGATACCAATTCGACTACCCTTTTGTACCAAGCGGAGATATATCTATTTCCTTACAAACCAAAGTTACGCAGACTTAATGCAGTAGTAATGATTGCAATAACCGTTCTTTAACAATATTTTAAAATGACTTCGATAAAGTAAACTGGCGTAAACGAAACAACATAATATTATGGAATTATGCAAAATTCGACGAAATTAAAATTTATTGAGAATGCTGAAACTTTTTCATTTTATTTCACATTTATGAGAGCAACGACAAATCTGTCAGTATTACTATAATTCACATACGGCGTTTTGTGAAATCATTCTTTAAAAAAGAAAAATCGCTGTCTTTGCCAGCCCCCAACAGATAAGGCAAATGTTGGCACTTCAGATGGGCTCAGCGTGAACAAAAAACCTGGAGTGGCGAACCATGGCGCGATGTTGTATGTTTTTTAGCACCTGCGTTGGCGGTCCCGATTTGATTGAGTGAATTCATTGGAGAACTACACTCGGATAATAATAGACCAGAAGGTCTAGAACGTTTTCCCTTGCTGTGCTTGAGCGCCTTTGCCACGGATACCTTAGATGTGACGTGCGTGTGTTAAAGGTACGGTTCATGCACGCAGCGCGGATGAATGTGATGCAAGTGTCTTTCGTGTGATTTGTTTGCGGAATATGTTTTCGCTTAGATAGATGGAAATTCATTTTCTATGCGTGTGTTATTCAGTCATTCCAGACTAGGACGAGACTTTCTGTGGATTTTTCCTCACGTTTACGTTAAATGCAAATACGAGATGGAGTAACGCAATATTATGTAGCAGTGTCTTCTTTTCTTATTTCCCCCATTTTTTTGGGTCTTTATATGTTGTTTTTTCCTTTTTGTGTGGTCGTTTAAGTGGAGTGGGTCAGTCATATAAATAAAAAAAACCCAACCATACTCTTTTTCTCTTTTTCTTTAGGTCAGTCTTTCTCATCTGTCTGTCTTGGTTTCTTTTCTCTTTTTTTTGGTCGTCATTCTTTTCAGTGTGTTTTTGTTTTTTAATCTTTTTTTTCACAGTATGTCGACATCTGGATATCCTTTTCCTTCCCCTAATGATCTTCATCTTTTTTTCAAACGTCATTTCTCTTTTTCTTTTACTTATGCCAATTTTTCTTTCATTTGTTCTTGTCTTGTTTTCTTGGTTATACATAGATCTAGCTCTTTCTGTTCGTTCTCATCTTAGATTTAATCCCGCAAGTCAAATCAATTTCGGTTTATTCTTTCATTTCCCGCGTTCGTTGCCGTTTCAGACTTTCTTTTGATTGATATTATCTGTGTTTTAAGCAACGCCAATGTAAACAGAAAAACTTCCAGGAAATTTTTATAGGTTTTAACATTTTGCTTTAAAATGAACAAACAAAACAAAACAAACCCCACCCCAACAAAACAACAACAACAACAACAACAACAACAACAACAACAACAACAACAAAACGGGAGGAACGAAGAGTAACACAGCCCAAACGTTAAATATATCCCTGTGCTAGACTACAAATACATGTATTAAAGACCAAACTAAACAAAGAAAATCCAAAAACGCAACTTGTACAAACAAAGTTCAAAACTAATAGCACGTACAGCAATGCAGTCGAATTTCTATTTCATAGGTCTCTTCAAATCTTTCATGCTCTTGTTGAAAAATTTACGTATTAATTTTTTTAAAAAGAATTAAATCTACCAACGCAGGGAAAATACATTTTAATACATTTCATCGACTAATTGTTCAGAGGTACTACGCCTAAAATTTTGAAACGTTATTATTGCAGCCTTTTAATCTGTGGCACCGATTGCATGTGCTCAAGAAATACTTTGCCAAAATTCAAATTCTTAATGTTGAAAATAGCATGAAAACGTACACAATAAAGTCTGTACAATTGGGAAAAGAGTGAAATAGGTTTTACTCTCTACTGAAAAAAAAAATGTTTCTCGATCTTGGAACATTTGAACAGGCAACAAGGAAACACCATCATATGAATATAGATCATATTTGAACCTTCAGTCCCTAATGAGTGCATTTTTAAAGTCCTGATTAATCCGCTAACAACTAAT